GTGAAACAGATCACCAGCCCAGGTTGGATGCATGAGACAAGTGCTCGGGCCTGGTGCACTGGGAAGACCCAGAGGAATCGGGTGGAGAGGGAGGTGGGAGGGGGGATTGGGATGGGGAATACATGTAACTCCATGGCTGATTCATGTCAATGTATGACAAAACCCACTGAAATGTTGTGAAGTAATTAGCCTCCAACTAATAAAAATAAATGAAAAGAAAAAAAAAAAGAACAGAAGACTGGGAATAATTCTCAGTGGTAAAATTATTTTTAGAATAAGAAGCAGAATGCAAGAACTTCCCTGGTGGTCCAGTGGCTAAGACTCCATGCCTCCAAAGCAGGGGGCCTGGGTTCTATCCCTGGTCAAGGAATTAGATCTCGGATGCTACCATTAAGACCCAGAGCAGCCAAATAAATAAATAATTTAAAAATAAATAAATGTTTTTTTAAAAGCAGCAGAGTGCATATGTGATCTAATTCTGGCACAATGAGTACCCAGTTTTCATCCACCCATACTTGATGTCTAAATATTTCACCCAAAGGTGCATTTCATTAGCAAAGGTGTTGAGTGTCATTACCGTGTATCCCACCTTTGTGACTGTGTCTGCTGTCAACATTTATATCTTTCTGTGAAGTAGCCAATAATAATAATAATAATAATCACAATGATAATAATAATCATAAGTAGCACATATCAAAAGCAGTACCCTTGTATCCATTGTATCTTTTTATTCTCACAGCTCTGTGAGGGAGGTACTATTATTCCCATTTTATAGATGAGGGAACTAGAGACTAGAGGAGTGTGGTAAGTTCCCAAAACTATGGCAGTAGATTTCCACCCAGACGATCTGTCTCCAAAGTTCACAGTGCTGCTCTCCAATCCAAAAGTTATTAATTGGAGTGAGAACAGATCAGTGTTTTCTGTAAGGACCAGAGAGTAAATATTTTAGGTTTTACAGCATGGACTGTAGCCTACCAGGCTTCTCCATCCATGGGATTTTCCAGGCAAGAATACTGGAGTGGGTTGCCATTTCCTTCTCCATTAGGAGTCATAAGGCCTCTAACAACTATTCAACTCTGCCATTTGTAGCAAAAGGGGAGCCACAGAAAATAGGTAAAGGAATGAGCATGGCTGTGTTCTAAAATTCATATAGATTTTTTTAGGTTTTAAAATTTTTTTAATGAGAGTATAATTGCTTTACAATATTGTGTTTGAATTTCTTATAGCATTTGCATGTTATATAATACTATTCTTCTCTTGAAGTTTCCAATCTTTAAAAAGGGGTTTTTTTTTTAACTTTTTATTTTGTATTGGGGTGTCGTGGATTAACAATGTTGTGATAGGACCTCCTAGGTAGTCCAGTGGTTAAGAATCTGCTGCCAGTACAGGGGATGTGGGTTTGATCCCTGGTCCAGGAAGGTTCCACATGCCTCAGGTCACCTAAGTCCATGCGACACAACTACTGAGCGTGCATGCTGGAAGAGGAGAAGCCCCCCACCCGCTCGAGAGAGCCCTCGCACAGCAAAGACCCTGTGCAGCCAAAACTGACCAAAGGAAAAAGAAACTAGAGTAAAGGAAGCTATATACTAAAAAACCACAATGTTGTGATGGTTTTAGCTGACCAGCAAAGGAGCGCAGCCACACATTCACATGTATCCCTTCTCCCTCAAGGACTTCCCTTGTGGCTCAGCTGGTAAAGAACCTGCCTGCAATGTGGGAGACCTGGGTTGGGAAGATCCCCCTGGAGAAGGGAATGGGTACCCACTCCAGTGTTCTGGCCTGGAGAATTCCTTGGACTATACAGTCCATGGGGTCNGAAAGGGTACCCACTCCAGTGTTCTGGCCTGGAGAATTCCTTGGACTATACTGTTCATTGTGTCACAAAGAGTAGGACATGACTGAGCAGCTTTCACTTTCTTTTATTCTCCCTCTCACTCCCCTCCAATCCAGGCTGCCACAGAACATTGAAGAGTTCCCTGTGCTATACAGTAGATCCTTGTTGGTTATCCATTTTTAATATAGCCGTGTGTACACGTCCATCTCAAACTCCTTTTGAGAAAGAAGAAAACCCAAAGATGAAGGCACAGCTGACATTTGAAAGCACTTACCATTTCTCTATAGTTCTTCGTTTGCTCAATATTACCCCATGCTGTGTCATGTTAGCAAAGAAGAGCAGAGAGCATTGCTCACCCCCCAGTTTCTCTAGGGTTAAATTGTAACCCACTGCAGGGCTCCCTGGGCACTCTGAGTGGAAATTCAGATGATAACAGATGAAGCACCCTCTGCAGTGGACAAGCAGGCCCCTGAGGTACTTAGATACATATCTCAGGAAAAATGATAATAACCCCATAGCCTTGCATCTTCCTATACAGTGGAAAAACCTTAAAGTCATTAACTTGAGATAGGTGTTCTTTTTGACTAGCAGTTAACCTTCATCAAGATGTATACTTGGCCTCATGTACTCCCTAGCCAAAAACC